AAATATTAGAGCAGAAATTAATGAAATCGAGCCTAAAAACAATACAAAGAATCATAAAATTGAAGAGCTGGTTTGTTGAAAGAATAAATGAAGTAGATAAACCCTTAGGCAAACTTACTGAGAGAAAAAGAGAAAAGATTGACATAAATACAATTAGAAATTAAAAAGGAGAAATCACAACAGACATTGTCAAAATCTAGAAGATAATTAGTAACTGCTAAATTAGAACATTTTTAAGAAATGGACAGATTCCTAGACTCATACCAAATATAATTCAAGAAGACACAAAAATACTGAACAACCCAATAACAGGCAATGAAATTGAGGCAGTAATAAAGAATCTATCAACTGAAAAATCCCAGGATGTGACAGTTTCACTGCCAAATTCTAAAAAAACTTAAGGATGTCATATCACTTATATTCCTCAAGCTCTTCAAAAAAATTAAAAGGGAGTGCTTCCAGATTCATTTATGAAAGCCAACATCACTATTATTCTAAAATGAGACAAAGACCCAACTGAAAAGAAAACTATAGGCCAATCTCCTTAACGAACATAGATGCAAAAATCCTCAACAAGATATTAGAAAACAGAACTCAGCTCATCATCAAAAAGATAATACAGCATGATAAAATAGGCTTCATCCCAGAGATGCAAGGACTGCTCAACAAATGCAAATCAATAAATACAATACATTACATAGACAGAAGCAAGGTAAAAAACAAAACAAAACACATGATTATATATAAATAGATGCAGAAAAGGCTTTCAACAAAATCCAATACCCCTTCATGAAAGAACCCTGAAAAGCATAGGTAAAAAGGACCATACCTGAATTTTTTCTTTTTTTTTTTTTTTGGTGTCAGGGATCAAACTCGGGTCGATCAGAAGAACTTGAGCTTGCGAGGCAGGCAGCAAAACCAATGAGCAAAATGCCCAGCCCGATACCTGAATTTGATAAGATATTTATGACAAACCAGCAGCCAATATCATATTAAATGGGGAAAAACTAAAAGCATTCCTTCTAAAATCAAGAAAAAAGAGAAGGATGCCTACTATCACCAGTTCTACTGTAGTACTCAAAGCACTAGCCAGAGAAATCAGGCAAAAGAAAGAAAAAAAAAAAGGGTTACATGTAGGAAAAGAAGAACTCAAATCATCATTATTTGCAGTTGATGTGATACTCTACATAGAAGACTCAAACAATTCACCAAAAAGCTTAGAAGTAACAACCAACTTCAGCAATGTAGTAGGATAAAATCAATAGCATTTGTGTACACCAATAATGAATACAATTAGGAAGAAGTTATGAAAATAATACCATTCACAGTAGCATTTAAAAAATGAAATATATAGGTACTAACCTAATCAAGGAAGTGAAAGATCTCTATAAAGAAAACTAAAGTACTCTGAAAGAGGAGATTGGAGATGAAATCAGAAATTGGAAAGCTATCCTCTGCTCCTGGATAGGCAGGCAATAATCTCAAAATGGCCATACTACCAAAACTGTTATATAGATTCAATGTAATCTCAATCAAAATATTAACAGCATACTTTACAGACCTAGAGAAAACAATCCTAAAATTCATACGGAGCCAGAAGAGACCCAAAATAGCAAAAGCAATCTTGAGTAACAAAAGCAAAGCAGGAGGCCTTGCAATATTTGACCTCAAACTATACTACAAAGCAACAGTAATAAAAGCAGCATGATACTGGAACAAAAACAGATGCATAGATCAAGGGAACAGAATAGATACAGAAACATGCCAGACACATTCAATGTCTGATCTTTGACAAAGGGGCCAAAAGCATACGAATGATGCTGGGAAAACTGGATATCTGTTTACAGAAGATTTAAGTTGAACCCATATCTGTCACCATGTAGCAAATTAAAATCAAAATGGATCAGAGATCTAAACATTAAAATGAAACATCGAACCTACTGGAAGATAAAATAAGTTAAACACTATAAGTCATAGGCAAATGAAAGGATTTCCTAAACAGAACTGCAATTGTACAGAAACAACAGCAAGAATCAACAATTGGGATTACATCAAATTAAAAACCTTCTTTATAGCAACAGAATCAATTAGTAGAATGAAGAGACAACCTACAGAACGGGAAAAAAATCTTGCATAATATAATATATATATATATATTATATAAAATAAAAGGTACAATTAGGAAATGGACAAGGAAAATGAACAGATACTTGGCAGAAGAAATATGAATGGCCAACAAATATATGAAAAAACTGTTCAACATCTCTGGCTATTAGAGAAATACAAATTAAATAATGCTGAGATTCCATATTACACCAGAAAGAATGGCAGTCATCAAGAAATCGAAAAGAAACAAGTATTGGCATGGCTGCAGTGAAACAGGAAATGTCCTATACTGCTGGCCAGAATGTAAACTGGTAAAATCATTATGGAAATCAGTATGGAGATTTTTCAAGAATTAAAATTAGAAATTCCATATGACCCAGCTATTCCTCTTTTAGGTGTCTTCCCAAAGAGCTAAAGACATCATACTACAGTAATACATGCACACCAATGTTTGTAACAGTATAAATCATAATAGCTGAATCTTAGAAACAACCTGTATGTCCATCACAGACAACTGGATACAATATAGGTATCTATACATAATGGGATGCTACTCAGCTATAAAGAAGGTCAAATTTGAAATATGGGAAAATGGGTGCACCTGGAAAATATAATGTTGAGTGAAATCAATCAGATACCAAGTTTAAATACTGTATGGTATCTCTACTTTGAGTAAGGCAAAGTACAAGGAAAGCACAATAAATATGTGCCAAATAGAAGGAGACAAGAGGACAGATCTCTTGCAAGTGGGAAGGGATCCAAGAGAACACAGGTGAGAGGAGACAATTAGAGAAGAAGAAGAAATAAGCAGAATAAAGTTATGTCATGTACAGGAACCTACAAGTCCTAGTGACTGTAAACATTATATGTTATAAACTTGAGATAAGAGTAATAATATCAACCAGAATGAAAACAGAGAAAGAGGATTTAGAGGAGGAAGGAAAAAAGTGAAGGAAGGGGAAGGGGACTAAAAAAAGGAATCAATCTGTTGTATTTACACGTACCCACTCCCCAAGATGATTGTAAACTGCATGTACTGTAAGTATACACCAATAAAAAGGTGAAGGAGAAATAGTTCCTAAGACAAAGACACAATAAAATAAAAATGTGAGTGAATTGGAGGCTAGCAGACCTGCCATGAAAGAAATGTTTTTAAAAAAATGATCTTCAGAGAACGATGAGTCAATCCCAATGATGAATGTAACTGTATTGTATACCTAGATTGTACCAATAAACTCAATAAAAAAGAATCAATTCTTCAAGGAGATTAAATCCTTAATAGGTATGTGCCCACAAAGTGTAAAATCACTCAAAGCAAAACAGAACTTCAAATCGCAATAGATACATCCATTAATATATGTAGTGACTTCAACCTCTGAAAGTACATACAACCAGCAGGTTGAAAAATCAGTGAGACTATGACAGAATTGAATAGTACCATCAACTAAATGGACTGAATTGTAGGATATTTGATCCACAACTGCAGAACACACATTCTTCTTAAGCTTCCAGGGAATATTCACCAAGACTCACTAGATTCGGACCCATAAGACATACCTTAATACATCAAAACAATAGATTACTCAGAATATGCTCGTAGAAAACAATGGGGGGCAGACACAGAGCTGGATGGACAATTCATAGAAAATATGGCCTCCTGACCCACCTTCTCTTTGAGTGACTTTTGCTTTCTCAACAATGACACCCCCAGGCCCTCTCCTGTACTATTTCCAGAGACTCAATTGCTAAACTGCCTCTGGCATGAGCACAAAGTCTACTCAGTCCCCTCTATCCTGTGTCAGAAGCCACCACCAATCCAGAATTCATGCCTGGTTTTCTTAGTCTCATCCCAAACCCTCTGGCTGGAATGTGACTTTAAAAAAAAAAAAGTCCCTCCTTTCCCCACTTTGCTAACACTTGAATCCCATGGCTTCCCTGACACTCCCTGCCTCCCTGAAAATCATTGAATCTGACCTTGTCAGACTAGGTTTGTGTCTCCATGTTTTTGGCTGGTGAGCTATTAATTTTTTAAAGGCAATGTAATTTATTTATAATGCTAAATTTATTTAAAGTACAAAGCTGCCTTTATTCTGCATTAACACTATTTTGCCTCTTGGTAACAGAATGCCTTTTAGTTTATGAAATAATTGTAAATTTTTATTTCCCTGAGTATATTACAAATGAACAAAAAGTTTGACAGTCCTATTTAGACTAAAATGGTTTTGAAATTGTAATTGTTCATGAAAATTTCAATGCCTGTGAGTCATTGCTATATAAAAGCAACTAAAAATGAGAAAAAAAGAAGGAAAATGATGTGTAAAAGGTATTATGACAATTTAAGGGGGAATGCTTTGAAATAATGTTCCTCATCAGTCTTCAAATTAATTTCTAGATATTTTTCTTCTAAGCCCATATTTTAAAAATTATTAAACCACTGAAAATGAAGACTAGTAAAACTGTCCAAACTATAATGGATACGTTAGAAGGACAAAAAGAAGTAATTAATTTTTTAAAATTTCAGCTTCCAGAACATGGATGATTGTGTTCTTTCCAGCCTGCTCTTGGTGAAACCCATCTTCAAACACACATCATATGCTGGGATTCCTCACTGCAGCAATGACCCCTAAGTAAGTGAGGATTTCTAAGGGGCGTGAAACTCACTGTCCTGGATTCTCCAGTGGCTAGGGACCATCTGTGCTTGCAGCTACCTCTGAAAACTGGAATACTGAACCCTGGCCCATAGTGACCATGTTTAGAGAGAGGCTTTGCAAAAGAATTAGAGCATACTCAGGCTGTGGAGAGGAGATAAGTACTTTCTAAGAACAACAAAGAAAGTACTAAAAAGATGACCTTTAGACTGGTCTTGAAATGAGTACTAGGGAGACAGCACTCACGTGGTGACAGTATTGAAGCCACAAGCCTTCAGCTTCAGTAGGCGGTCCCTCCAGTACTCCCTGGGCACCCGGAAGTAGTGGATAGTGCCTGATAAGATCAGGAACGGGCAGCCTTCCAGTGTGAAGTTTGAGCCCTTAACTTGTAGACCCACTTTTCGGTTCTTCAAGTGGGAGGGTGTCAGGAGAGTTTGATTAATCCTGCAAAGACAAGGGAAGTACATGAAGTCCTAGACACAAAGGCTGGGTAGATCAGAAAGGCCTTTCCTTCAGTGCTCTAAACATCCCTATGGGGAGAGAAACCTCCGTAGCCTTTCCTTGAAACATACCTGGGAAATTGGTCATGACTGAGCTGCTCCATCACTGAAAAGGCTAATGACAGGCACAGGATACATTCAAGTCTCACCAGGAAGATCCACATGATGAATAGGATAGAAGAGGAGTCAGAGATGCAGGGCTTGAGGGAGGGTAGCTGGGAGCCAAGAAAAACCTGCTAGGAGGATGGTGAGGGTGATGGAGGCAGAATTTACTACTGTTCTTTTGCATTGCCTGGAATCACAACAGCCCAAGGTCACTTCTACTCACTGGAGGCCACATCTATTACTCTGCATCACAGAGTTGCCTGTTAAACTCCTGGATTTTCAGATACCACAAATTTTATTACATAACAGAGAATGATCTCTAGGAAGGTTGTTGGAGACACTCAACTGCTAAGGCAGTTCTATGTCTCAGCATAGAACATAGCCTGGAGGTAGGAGCAATTCCTGCACAGAGAGACCCAATTCTTATTTCAACCCAACACTGCACTTCTCTGGAACCATAGTCCATCTCTTGGTGAATTTCTGGAGCACACTATCTGTGTGGCTCTAATTTTCTTGATGTTGCTCACTCTGGGGCAAATGCTCTTTTCTCCCTGTATCAAAAACCCTATGAGCTACATATTGAAGATATACTCCTAAGTGAAATAAATAAGTCACACATGTGTAAATACCGAATAGTTTCCCTGGTGTGAATAATCTGCAACAATGCATAAGATTCTAATAATATTACTGACATTTAGAAATGGGAAGAAAGGAGCTAAAGGTGTAGGGAAGGTGAGATGGGTAGGGGAAGAACAAAAAGGGAAAAGAAAAAAATGTGAGAGAATGAAAAGATGAAAATAAAGTGTTTGTAGATGGGGAGGGGAGGAGGGGATGAAGGGAGGGCAGAGGTAAGGGGAAAAAATGAGAATCAAGACTTGCCATGTAGAGGTACATGATCACAACAATGAATGTAACTGTACTGTATCCCTAAAATGTACCAATAAACTAAAAAAAAAAAAACTCCTATGAGCGCACCAGGATTTTAGCACAGTGGTGCTGCTGCCTGCCTCATAAGCATGAGGTCCTGAGTTCAGTCCCCGGTACCAGAAAAAACAAAAACAAAAACAAAACAACTTATGAATCCAAAATGGACTGAAACAGCATGGCTGCCCAGCTCCCAAAGCAGTACCTGAATCAACAAATGGTTCCATTAAGTGGCTGATTTACCAATTCAGTTTGTCTTTTGCTTAACAGGTATTTGTTAATAAGTTCAGATTTTTTTTTTTTTTTTTTT